CTGCCTGCTGGACTCACCAGCCACAGCCTACGGGACAGCCAGCCCTTGGCCAGCCCTTATGCTGGGGAAAGAAGCCCTTTCCCTAGCTCTGGGCTACCTGGATGGGGTGATCCTGAACCAACTATACCAAAGAAGGGCAGGGTCCAGGGGAAAGAAGGGTGGAGGAAGCATGACTACCATTAATGGAATATTGCCAAACAGACAGGATTTTAGAAGTTGCCCATACTCGGTAGTGACCAATGACGGGGGTTACAGACATACCAAGTGCTCCAGTGTGGTCATTACACACTGCATATACGTGCCAAAATGTCACTCTGGATCCTATAAACAAGTACAAAGACTATATGCCAATCAAAACTAAAAATTCATTTTAAAAAATGATGAGCATGCACCCAGGAAGTGGTAGCTTGTGGTTGATGAGGGCACATGTGACAGAAGGAGGTTCCAACAGCACGTAGCAGCCTTCCAAGTGGCTGGCAAATGGCTTCCCATCACCCACCTCCTGCCACTTTACCCCTACCCCCATTCAGATCATGGGAGTCTAAACACACAGGAGTTTAGCATTAACTCAACAAACTCATGTTGAGCTGACTCTTTGTCAGGCTCTGTCCTGGACACTTTGAAGGAGGAAAAATATATAAAAGCAAGCTCCTGCCCTCAGATATATGTGACAGAAGAGGAGAGAATCCAGAAATGAAAGGTTTTTGAGAACCTGAAACCTGAATTGCAGACAGCCAGGGCTTTGGTGAAGGTGATGTTCAAGCTAGACTTTGGTGGATGGAGAGAACATGGACAAGGAGCGATGAATAACAATACATACCAAGGATGAAGGCCTCACTGGGCCAAGCAGGCTGACTTCTTTCCTAAGCCAAGAAAGAACTTCAGATGAAGGCAAAAGCGAGTCTCAAAGAGAGGAGCAAAGCCTTTGACACTTGCTCCCACCACCTCTCCCTCGACCCCCGGCGCAGGTCTTAGTACCAGCCACTCTCCTGTGCCATGTTTATCTCACCTTCTGCCAGTAAGACCCCAGTGTCTCCCAGCATGGCTCAGCAAGCTGTGGACAGGGAGTGAAGGGCTTGGCAAGTGGCAGTCTCTTTGGGTGCCCACAAGGCCAAGGGTATGCACTCTGTCAGCCTGTGAGCTCACAGCAGCAGTGAGCCCTGAAGTGTGCTAGCTCCCAAGTCCTCCTCCCATTGGCACAAACATAAAACCTCACATCTCCCCCCCCCCCCCCGTGGCACTTCCATCTCTATGTCTCACAGCGCTGCCTGCCTGTTATCCCTCAGGCATTTCCACCAGTATGTCCCTAACCTGCCAGCCTCCCTGCAACCCCTGGCTGTGCCAGCACCTCGATGCCAATGTTCACCCCAGGGCTTCTCCTGCCAGGCTCCCAAGACACCCTTGCTTCCTGGCATGCTGATCCCAACTCCTACCATGGCCCCTCTTTAACTAGCTCTCACAGCAGAGCTGTAGAGTTACCTGTTACTGTGAGCTGAGCTGTGCCTCAAGATACCTCATTGTTGTCACAGACTGGCAGGAGAACAGAACGTGCAGTTGCATAAGAGGCATTCTGATGTAAATTAGGTGGGCTTTGATACCCTCTACCCCTTCCAGGACCAGGAATCAGGACAGGATCAGGGAGCAAGATGATCAGCAGGTTGTGGCATAACTGCCTAAGATGCCAAGGTCTACCATGTCAGCATCCCATGTGAGTGTCAGTTCAAATTCCAGCTGTTCTGCTTCTGATGCAGCTTCCTGTCACTGTGCCTGAGAAAGCAACAAAAGACAGCCCAACTCCTTGAGCCCCTGTACCCACATAAGAGACTAGAGAGAAGCTTTTGGCTCCTGACTTTGGCCTGCCCAAGTCCCAGTCATTGCAGCCATTTGGGGAGTGAACCAGTGGATGGAAGATTCTCTCTCTCTCTCTCTCTCTCTCCCCCACTCTCTGTAACTGTGTCTTTCAATAAAGAAATAAAACTTTCAAAATTTTTTTTCCTAAAAAAAGAAAGAAGAGGCACTGACAGGAGGAACCCTGAAAAGCAACTTCTCCAAGTTCAGTATTTGGCCTTAAGACTAGCTTTGAGGGCCCGGCGCGATGGTGCAGTGGTTAAGGTCCTCGCCTTGCACGCCCGGGATCCTATATGGGCGTGAAGAGGCTCCTGGCTTCGGACCGGCATAGCATCGGCCGTTGCGCTCACTTGGGAAGTGAATCATCGGATGGAAGATCTTCCTCTCTGTCTCTCCTCTCTGTATACCCGCCTTTCCAATAAAAATAAAATAAATCTTAAAAAAAAAAAACTAACTAACTTTGAACCAAAAAAAGTAAAACAAGTAGAGGTCCGCTGGTGGGAACAAGTTTCAGCAAGACCCTGGTGACTCATGGAGCTGCCAAGCAACTTTGAATGAGGACTTTGGGCCATTTGCTCTCCCCACCCTTGTTTCTTTCCCCTTCCGTCTTTGAACCGGTTGCCAACAAGGGTTCAAGTCCTAAAACTTATGAGGGTAAAGACAGTCATTTTTCTGATAAGAAGATAAGGGAGGGGCTGAGAGGAAAAACAGGTGAGGTCATGCTCATCACCAAGGCCAAGGCAGGGCCCCAGGGGCCCGATGCAGAGTGCTGAATACAGTGTGGAGACATCCCAGGGCAGAGTCCAGAAGATGGGGGAGGGATGCCGGTCCAGTCTGTGCTTCCCAGCGTGACCCTTGGCCCAGTTGATCTTTGCTATGCCATGAACTGCCACTTCAGCAGTGTTGGGCGCTGGGGCCAGAAAGAACAAGGTACAGATGAGACTGGCTTTGCTTCTGGTTCTGCATCAGAGCTAACAAGCACTTACACAGCACGCGTTTGCTCTCTGCCAGGCATGTTCTTAAAAACTCATCGCATCCTTCTGAAGTTGATGGCATTGAAACTCCATCTTATGAGAAAAAAAAAAAAAAAACACCTTTCAGGGCTCAGAAAGGTAAAGTTGCTGGCCTTAAAATCAAGCAGCTAGGTGAGTGAGAGGGCAGGGATTGAGACACAGGGAGTGTGGCTCCTGCGTCAGGGCTCCCAAGCTCACTGGTGACAGAGCAAGATGGTGCTCTTGTTCAGGGGCGGTCTCGGGCTTCCTTCTTTGCAGAATCCCATCAACACTACCACCTCACCCGTCAGGATGGCTACCGCAGCACACAGAGGAGGAAGCGCCCTCGGCAGGGCGTTGCACCAGCCTTTTGAACCCTGGGTAATACTTGGACTGGCAGTGATGGAAGGAGTAGCAAAGAAAGAACAAGAAAGGGTCAGTCCGGGGCTTCCAGCGTGACCGAATGTCACAAGAGTCTTGCAGTCCTTGTTCCTGATCTGTCCCTCAAGGCTGGAGGCTCCTGGCCTCTGCTTTTTTCTTCCTGAAAGAGGAATTCACTGAATATTCTCACCCATTTACACTCTGCCCCTTCAGGGAGCATCAAGAACCCCCACCCCTGCCCCTTGTTACCCCCTAAAACAGTGCATTTTGTAGTTCTTGCACAGGTTATTGAGAGCTGCCTCATACTTATTGTAGACACAAGCAGAGTGTACTTTCCAATAAAAGCACTGTGGGGGAGGGGCATTGGGCTATAGCAGGTACAGCTATGACCTATAGAACCAGCATCCCATATGGGCTCTGGTTCAAGTCCTGGTCACTCTACTTCCCATTTGGGTCCCTGCTAAATGCACCTGGAAAAGCAGCAGAGGATGGGCCAAGTGCTTGGGTGCTGCCACCCTCATGGGAGAATCAAAAGAAGCTTTTAAAGGCTCCTGCCTTCAGACCAGCCCAGCTCCAGCCATTGCAGCCATTTGGGAAGTGAACAATCATGGAAGATTCTCTGTCTCTGTCTCTCTCTCTCTCTCTCTGCCTTTTCAATAATTAAATAAATCATTTTTAAAAAGAAACAAAACAAAGGCTGGTTGGCCTTGGGCCCGCAGGCTAAACAAGCACTCCTCCCTGAGGTCTGTTCGTGGCTCCAAAGCTATCTACGATATTGCCTTCCAAGGAACCCAGGGTGTGAAGGTTTTTGAGCGTTTCGGAGCTACTTTGGTGCTGGTGCTGGTGCCACTGCCCTCTGACACGGCCAGGCAGGGGAGCAATGCTGGCATTACTTCTCTTCTTGCCTCAGCAAAGTTGTGCCATTCAGGAATAACCTGCACTACAGGGAGCCCATGTTCCTGTTCTAGAAGCTGTGGCAGAAAGGGCCCGTCCTGTAGGCCCAACTTGATTTCTCAGCCCCCAACTTCCCCTTTCTGGCTCTTCTTTGCCCGATTCTTCCAAGCAGAGGTACCTTTAGGTCTTTGTCCCCTCCCCTGTGTGGCTGTCTTAACAGCTTAGATTTTCTAGAATGTACAATAGGCAGCTGATGAGGGTGGGGGGCTCAGCTCCCAGCATGCCAAAAGAATGGATGCTGTAGCCACAGGCCGTGTGCCCAGCAGGGTGCAGAGGGCTCCCCAGCAAGATGGAGAGTGAGAGAGAGAGAGAGAGAGAGCGAGAGAGAGAGAGAGAGAGAGAGAGAGAGAACACAAGCTTTTGCTGAGCCAGGCACTGAAGGAGGAGTTACAAGCGGGGCTGCAGCCAGGGCCCAGCGTGGAGAAGCTAATGGGAAACAGCCTGGCAGATTCGGGAAGGGCTGGGGCAGGGCTGCTGCAGAGGGGTTGGGCCAGGCAGGCTGATTGAAACCAGCTGTTGCTCTTCTGTCTTGGAGATCTTTGGACTCTGGCCCCAGGGCGGGCTCACATCCTATTCTGGGCTCCCACACAGGTTGCCTGGGATAGCCCGAGGTTCCTCAGCCCTTTCCGGGTTCCCTGAGCCAGTCGGCAAGACAGACCACAGAGGGCCACTCTCCACTCAACAGCCGGTTGCCTCCTTCCCATCGCCAGCCTCCCATCCACCCATCCACCTCCTGTCTGCTCCTGCCCAGGAAAGGCCTGAAGGAAGAGGCCAGAGACCCGCCCTGCCCTCTCTCCCCAGCCCCTCCGTGCATCTGGAGCCCCCATGGCCTGGGCTCCCTGGGGCTGCTGCCTCTGGCTGGTGCTCCTGTGCGGTATGTGCATCTGGGCCTCTTGGGGAGGACCAGTTCTGGCCTCTCTATTCTGTGCTCAGCAAGGGTGGACTGAGGGCTAGGGCTCAGGCTGTCTCTTTCTGGGTTCCTTTCTTGGTCTTGAGGAAGAGTCACCTCAGGGCGTATCTTCAGGGCCCTTGTGACTTGGATCACGTCTGCCTTGGCATCTTCCCATTTCCCCCACCCTGGTAAAAACTAAATTATTCTGGCACTCATTAAAACGGAAGAAGGATTTGCAAAGAGGGGAGACAGATGGGGCTTATCTGATAAAGCAAACGCCGCCGGAGAACGGGGTGCTTACGAGCCGAGGGAGGGGCTCAGGGAATGACAAATTACTAAGAAGGGACTTTAAGGATCAGTGGATTCTTCCTGGATGTGGGCCGTGGTGACCACGTATCTAGGGTGAGGGATAAGAAATCTGATCAGCTATTGCAAGTGACTGGACAGTAAGAGTGGAGCTTTCCCCTAAACTGAATTATCTTGCTAAGACCAGGCAATGCAGGCCAAGCAAAGGCAGAACAGGGCAAATGCCAACATCTAAGAAGAGGACTTAAAGGAGCCTCTTTTTCTGTCTGTCTCTGTCTCACTTTCTGTTAAAGTTTTATTTCATTTTTTACTTGAAAGAGTTGGGGGTGCAGAGAGAGATCTTCCATCAGCTGGTTCACTCCCCAAATGGCCACAACAGCAGGAGCTGAGTGGATCAAAGCCAGGAGCCCAGAGCTACTTCTGGGGATCCCACGTGGGTGCAGGGACCCAAGGAGTTGGGTCATCCTCTGCTGCTTTCCCAGGCCATTAGCTGAGAACTGGATCGAAAGTGTAGCAGCCAAGATTCAAACCAGCATACACATGAGATGCCAGAGCCGCAGTCAGAGCCCACCATGCCAAGGCGCCAGCGCCCCAGAGGAGCCTTTCTAAAGCTTGGTCAAGGAGAGACTCTGTTTCACCCCTATGGTGCCCTGTATGTCTTCGGTTAAGTGCACAGCTCAGTAACTGCCACCCCTCCCCTCCCCCACCCCCAGCTTCCCACCTTTCTGCCTTCTAAGTACCTGCTCATTCACTCAGCATTCAGATCTTGAGCACCCCCTTGGTGCCAGGCCCTGTGCCTGGGGCTGCAGGTGCTCAGTGGCAGAGCCTGCCCTTGGTTTCAGAGAATAGCAGATCCTGGTTTCTGGAGAGACACAGGTCACCTGTGCCCTGGCTCTGATGCTGACATCTTAGTGGCACCGTTTCATCAGAGATCTGTTCCTGCAGAAATGTGGGGGGTTGGGGAGGGCATTTTCTGAAATCAGCAGCCTAAGTCTCCTCTGCCCTTTGAGTTTGTGAGACCAAGACAGGCAGGCAAGGTGTTTGTGGCAGCAGGTCTTAGCTACCCTCCTTCCATGTGTAGCTCAGCCCACTCAGAAAGGCCAAGTGCAAGTTAGGCTCTATAGGAATCCACTCTGCCCACCACTACCACCACCATCACCATCACCACTCACACCCCACCCCCCACCCCCACCACCTGCAAAAGGAAGAGAGTAGAGGGACAGACTATCAATCAGACTGTCAGACTTTTAGGGAGAAAGAAATTGCATCTCATCCAAGTCTCCTTTATAGAGGCACAGGGCCTGGAGGGCTTAGCCTGGTACCTGGCATACAGTAAACACTTAGGAAATATTTAACAATGAATATGGAGTCACTCTCCTCAGGTCACACCAAATGTGCAGCGCAATCCAGTTTGACAATGAGGATTCCATGTATTCTCTGCAGCACCACCCTTCCCAGGCCCATCTTTCCCAGGTGCACCCTCCCCCACCCCTGCTCCATGATCAACAGAGTGGGAACATGGAAGGAACATTGTAGTATTGTGTTCAGATGGCCCGGCATTCAAATCTCTGTTCTACCACCAACTCACTAAGGCAAAACTTGGGCAAGTTACCAAAAACTTGACTTCCTCCTCTGTAGAAAATGAACAAAAACTCCCACCCATCTCATAGGTTTCTTTTTTTTTTTGTAAAGATTTATTTTTATTATGTTTTTATTGGAAAGGCAGATATACAGAGAGGAGAGACAGAGAGGAAGATCTTCCGTCCAATGATTCACTCCCCAAGTGACTGCAACAGCCAATGTTATGCCGATCCGAAGCCAGGAGCCTCTTCCGGGTCTCCCACGCGGGTGCAGGGTCCCAAAGCCTTGGGCTGTCCTCGACTGCTTTCCCAGGCCACAGGCAGGGAGCTGGAAGGGAAGCGGGGCTGCTGGGATAGAACCGGCGCCCATATGGGATCCCGGGCGTGCAAGGTGAGGACCTTAACCACTTGTGCCACCGCACCGGGCCCGATCTCATAGGTTTCTTGCAAGCAAGACGCAGTTATCACTTAATGATGTGGCTACATTGTAAGAACTGTATCATTAGGCAATTTCTTCCTTGTGCAAACATTATAGAATAGACTCATAGAAACTGAGGCAGCCCCGATGTCACTGGGCAATATGAGCTTATAGGACTAAAGTTGTAGAATGTGATCCATCATTGACAGAAACATAGTTTATGTGGCACATGACCATAGTATAGATAAATTATAAAGTCCACTATCCAGAATGTATTTTTTTAAATTTCAAAGTCACATATACAGAGAAGAGGAGAGACAGACAGGAAGATCTTCCGTCCGATGATTCACTCCCCAAGCAGCCACAATGGCTGGAACTGAGTCAGTCCGAAGCCAGGAGCCAGGAACTACCTCCAGGACTCCCACATGGGTGCAAGGTCCCAAGGCTTTGGGCTGTCCTCGACTGCTCTCCCAGACCACAAGCAGCGATCTGAATGGCAAGCGGGGCCGCCAGGTTTAGAACCAGTGCCCATATGGAATCCTAGCATATACAAGACAAGTACTTTAGCTGCTAGGCTACCCCTCCGGGCCCTAACAGGGGCTCTTTAAAAGCCACCCATCTTCATCAGTGCTCCGAGGGGGCCTGGGAGTAAGCCCAATATAGGCAAAATTAGATTTATAGAAGGCTGCAACAAAGGTGGGGTGATTATTTAGCAAAGTCCTCTAGAGCATTTCAGAGAAAATTTGATTACCAAAATTTAATTTACGCACAACTTTTCCACTTCACTAGACCCAATTAGATTAGAAGGAAAAAGAAAACGGATGTAATGAGCACTAAAACGCAAGCAGAAGTGGTAATCACTTGTCCACGAAACGCGGTGTTTTTTTTTTTTTTCTGTGTGACCCAGGGTGCCATCCAGGTCAGCCTGATTTCCCATGAAATGTGATTATTTGTCTCCACAAGTAAAGTGGGCGAGTGCGATGCGTTACAAAGGCCAGAGTGAGCCTGCAGGAAGAGTGAGGTGGGGCGAGGATGCCCCAGTACTCTCCATGAGCTATCTGGTTCACAAATAACACTGGATTTTCCTCCCGGTTCCCAGCCACTGCCTGGAGCCACTCAGATGCAGCGAACCTTGAAAGGACCGACGTGAGAAACTGTTCAAGCAGCCCTCCGGTGAGACCCTGCTCACGCCCCTGCAAGGCTCCGCCCACAAGGTCCCGCCCTATCCCCCCCCCCCCCCCCCCCCCCCCCCCCCCCCCCGGCTCAGTTGCTAACCTCTCCTTGTTGGTTTTGTTTGTTTGTTTGTTATGTTTTGTTTGTTTGTTTTTACCGGACTTTCCCCTGAATTCCAACCTCTGTGTTTTGCTTCTTATTAACGCTTCTTATTAACCTAAGTCTGGACGGACAGCACTTTCTCAGGTGTCTGATACCACCACCACCATCACCACCCTACACCCACGGTGTGAGCCCCATCGGTGGCCTCTCCCTTCCCACTCTCTCACTTTACTTTCTGCCCTGGCCAGGGCCAGGGGAAGCCCGGCTAGGAGGAGGGAGCAGGCAGGAGGGCAGGGAAGTAGAATGGCAGGGGGAGGAAGGGGGTCCAGTGGACAAACAGGAGAAGGGAGGAAGCCAAGGGACTGAAAAGAGCCTGGCAAATAGACAAGGCACGTGAAGATGATAAGGCCCAGCAGATTGGAGTCCAAAGCAAACCCATCTGCTAAGCAGCTTCCTAGCTGGAGACCAGAGAGATGCTCTCCGCAGCCAGAGGAAGGGTGGAGATCACCAGTTGAGAGTAGACCAGGAAGTGTGAGGCGTGGGTATACTAGCAACAGGATAGACCAGGAGCCAGGAACTCAATCCAGGTCTCAATTCACGTGGGTGGCAGGGAGCCAGTCACTTAAGCCATGACTGCTAGCTCCCAGGGTGTGCTGCAGCAGGAAGTCAGAATCCACAGCAGCAGAGTCAGGACTTGAAACCTTGTACTCTTTTTTTTTTTTTTAAGATTTATTTATTTTTATTCGGAAGTCAGACATACAGAGAGGAGGAGAGACAGAGAGGAAGAACCTCCGTCAATGATTCACTATTCACTCCCCAAGCAGCCGCAACAGCCAGAGCTGAGCCAATTCGAAGCCAGGAGCTTCTTCCGGGTCTCCCACGCGGGTGCAGGGTCCCAAGGCTTTGGGCTGTCCTCGACTGCTTTCCCAGGCCACGAGCAGGGAGCTGGAAGGGAAGCAGGGCTGCCAGGATTAGAACCGGCACCCATATGGGATCCCAGGCGTGCAAGGCGAGGACCTTAACCACTTGCACTATCATGCCGGGCCCCTGTACTCTTTTTTTAAAAAGATGTATTGATTTTTATTTGAAAAGCAGAGCCAGAGAGAGGTGGAGAGTATTCTTCCATCTGCTCATTCACTCCCAAAATGGGACAGTGGCCAGAGCTGGGCAGATCTGAAGACAGAAGTCAGGAGCTTTTTGCAGGTCTCTCACATGGGCAATAGGGGCCCAAGCACTTGGGCCATCCTCTGCTGCTTTCCCAGGTGCATTAGCAGGGAGCTGGATCAGAAGCTGAGCAGCCAAGTCTAGAATCAGTGTCCAATAGGGAATGCTTGTGCTTGCAGGTAAAGGATTCGTCAGTTGAGCCATTGCACCAGCCCCTCCTGGGTTTCTTTTTTCTAAATCTGCCAACTCAACCCCAAGGCTTGCAATGGCCTGCCAGGGCTTGGACCTCTGTGTTTGCCTCCCATCTCACACTCAGGTCCCATTATTGTTCCAAAGGATCTCTCCCCAAGCTCTTAACATCTCTAGGCTCATCCAGGCAAGATCACTTTATTGAAACTAATCAGTGTCATGAGCTGCCATCCTTGGTCTTAATCAAGCCAAGGCAGCCCAACTACTCCAAGCTGTGCCTTAAGAGAAGTCTCATTTTCTCTAAGCAATGTGTGTGTCTTTGTGTGTCTCATTGTCTTCCTGTGGTTAGTTCCTTCCAGTTACTGCAGTCAATACTACGGCACGAATAGCAGCCCTACGCCAGCAGATAAAGGCCCAGAACCTCTCTGCCTACATCATTCCAGATACGGATGCTCACATGGTGAGAGACAGCTCCTCCCCCTGCGCGCTCCATTACTTTGAGTAGGTCGGCCCCAAAGAGAGGCTGTTCCAACTCTGAAGATGAAAATGGAGAATGGATTTGACAGGTCATGGGAAGGAAGTGCGGACCACACACCTGGTACCTCTTAGGCACCGGAAACATTTTTTATAGGAGGGAGGACATCCCCAAATGTCCTTGACCTCTTAAGGTGAAACCATAACCAACCTCACAGTTGACTTCGGTTGGCACATTCCAAGATAGCAGATCTAGAGGAAATGTTTCAGGCCTCCCTGCCCTAATAGGGCTAGAATGAGGGCTAGGAATTGGAGGACTGAAATGCTCCAACCTTCCATTCAGCTCAGGCCTGCCCATGACCTGTTGCAGAGGTGGGGTGTGAGTGAGACAAGGCAGAGCTATAGACTACACTAAGTGAGGGGAGAGATTGGGAGATGGGGGAGGGAAGGGGGCAACATAGACAGCCAGTAACATGGCCTGAGAAAAAACTACTTTGCACAAAGCAATGCCTCTGCTCACTCACTCCACTCCTTCTCACTACTGGCTCCATCGCTATCCCGCCTACCTTCCCAACGCCATCTCTGCTAAAAGGGAAGGCAGTGTCAGAGTTAATGAACTTTCCTGAGTTAAGACTAGGAGTAACTATCTGAATATCTCTGAGTCTCAGGTTTCTCTTCTGTGAGGTGAGTATGATGTGATCTGTCTCCAGGAGTTAGGAGGTGTAGAATCACCCTTCCATATCCTTAGAGGATTTCCTATCCAGATGCCCCCAGCTTGGATACCAAAATTCATAGATGCTCAAGACTCTTGTATTAAATGGCCTAGTGTTCGCATTAGAATCTACACAATCTTCCCATATACTCAAAATCATCCCTAGACTGCTTATGATACCTAATACAATGAACACTATGTTGTTTAGGGAACAATGACAAAAAAAGAAGTCTGTGTTCAATGCAGATACAATTTAACATATTAATATTAATATATTAACTTTAAGTTAATATTAATTATATATATTTATATACATCTTTGCGATCAGCAGTTGGTTGAATCTGCAGTATGGAACCTGCAGCTACAGAGGGCTGACGATGGTAATGTATGGGGCCTGCTGCAGAAGTGAGTTATGATGTACCCAGTGTGCTGTGCTAGACTGGAGAGCGAGGGAGAGGAGATAGCTCAAGAGGAGAACCCAGAAGAACTGAAAGATCTGATTTTACACAGCACAGAATGTGCACTCTGGCCAGGGTGCCAACTCTTATGCAGGCCAGTCCCAGGTAACAGTGAGTCCAGTTCTAGACGGTGAGATTGGAACTCTAAAACACACACCGTTGTTCAAAGGAAAAATAGAAGGCTAGGAGAGTGACAGAGGGCTTTCTGGAAGAGATGCCAAGAGCCTTGTAGGAATAGTAGGATCTAAGCTGATAGAAAGAACTGGGCTGTGCTTGGGGGACTTGCCCTAGGGTTTGTCCCCATGGAAGAGAGTTACTGGGGGTGTTATTGCTTTCCTAGAGCGAGTACATTGGCAGCCAAGACGACAGGCGTGCGTGGATCACAGGCTTCACAGGGACTGCAGGTAATGACCAGGACCTGCCTTCATTGCTCCTGTTGCAAGATTGAGACAGAGGGTCCCAAAGGACCTGGCCTGGCTACGTCCTTGGCAGCCAGGACGCCTCCCAGTGTCTATAGTGTCCAAAAGTCCCTCTGTCACCCCAGAGCCTCAGGTTCCCCAGGGCACATATCTCATGGCCCAGCAGCCACATGTCTGTGCAGAAAGAAGGCAGGCGACTTCATGCCCACCTTCCCATGCCCACCCACTGTCTTGGCCATGACCACATGGTACCAAGCACTCCTGGGGATATACTTTTGCATTCTGCCTCTCAGGGGCTCACTGATGCCCTTCACATGATGGTTCAACAGCAGACAACATTTTGCTTTGCCTGTCTTTATGGCCACAAACGTTGAGGCCCTTGGTAAGGTCTCCAGTTCTGAAAAGGAACTTGGAGGGCTCCAGGCTGCCCTGTGATGCCTAACAGAGCCTCTTCTCTCCACTGAAACCACTGGTTTGTCTTCCCTATGGGCCATCAAATCTTCTTTGTTGTTGTTGTTTCTAAGATCTATTCACTTTATTGGGAAAGTAGATTTACAGAGAGGAGAGACAGAAAGATCTTCCATTCCACTGGCTCACTCCCCAAGTGGCTGCAACGGCCAAAACAGAGCTGATCCAAAGCCAGGAGGCAGAAACTCCTTCCAGATCTTCCATATGGTTGCAGGGACCCCAAGGCTTTGGGCCATCCAGTATTGCTTTCTCAGGCCATAAGCTGGGAGCTGGATGGGAAGTAGAGCAGCCAGGACAAGAACTGGAGCCCATATGGGATGCCCTCGCTTACAAGGGGAGCATTAACCAATTGAACCATCACACTAGGCCCAAGCCACCAAATCTTGACCCTGAGAGCACCCACACATTTTGTGGGACCACCAAAACCAGACCCCACTACCTTCCCTGCTAAAAGTCCTCATCCACATATACCCACCCACCCAAATCACAGGTGCTTAACGCAGCACACTCTTTATGCTGTACCTACCACCACCCCCAGGCTCTGTCACATTTCTTGCCACACCTCCTTCCCTGAAGCCCCTGGTGACACTCTCAGAGCCAGCACCATATGGCCCTTCCTCCCAGCAGAGCCACCTTCCTCACCTTCCCCTGCCCCTCCAAGTCTGTTTGCTCTTGGCCAGGAACTGCTGTGGTGACCATGGACAAGGCAGCTCTCTGGACAGACAGTCGCTACTGGACTCAGGCGGAACGACAGATGGACTGCAACTGGGACCTCCACAGGACAGGTGGGGAAGGTGTAGGCAAGGGGGGTGCATGGCAGGACTGTCACAGGTAGAAGCCTGGCTGAAGGGCCTGGGACTTGCCCTGTAAGTGACTTCTGCACTCCTTCCTGTCTCTTAACAGGTGCCATTGCCAGCTGGCTTCTTGCAGAGATTCCTGCAGGAGGACGTGTGGGCTTCGATCCCTTCCTCTTCTCCATCAGTATGTTCTTTCCTTAGTCCCTGGCCTTGTCCATGCCCATGAGAGTCACTCAAGCTTCCCTGGGATGTAGTGAACCTTGGTAGAAGGAGGGCCTGTGTGACCAACAAGGCAGAACATTTTGAACTTGTGGATGGGGAACATTTTGTAGGAAGAACATATTCATGGAGTATATAATTAAAATAAGAGGTTTTTCATGAATATAATATTCTTAGATTTATTTTTATTTGTAAGTCAAATTTTTACAGAGAGAAGGAGGGACAGAGAGAGGGATCTTCCACTATGGCCAGAGCTGGGCTGGTCCTAAGCCAGGCGCTTTCTTCCCTATCTCCCATGAGGATACAGGGTCTCAAGAACTGGGGCCATCCTCTGCTGCTTTCCCAGGTGCATTAGCAGGGAGTTAGATCAGAAGGAGAGCAGCCAGACCTGGAGCTGATGCCCATATGTGATGCCAATGCCTACCATATACCACAGCATCAGCCCTTAATGAACATAGTTTTTTAGTCATGAGTAGAGAAGCCCACCCTAGAAGACTCAGGAAATCACTAAACGGAGTGGATTAACAGAATATCCTTGAAACCAGAACACTCCCTCTGTACCCTGGAGCCCTGCCAGTTATGGTATTCAAAGCATTTTGTGGCCCTCTTGTGGAAGGTGGCTCAGAAGGATCAAAGGAGATGGGAGAGCTTTTAAATTAAAAAGGCACAGATGTCGCTGAGCTCTGCTGCCCAGCCAGCTGGTCAACCCAGGCACTCAAAGGCAGCATACTCCTGATCACACATTGAAGAGCCCACTTTCCAACTGGTCTCTTTGCCAGCCTTCCAGTGGCCTGAACATCACCATCTCTTTCGACTAGGCCATTGAAGCCCTGTTGAAATGATTACCCAGGAGGGAGACTACACAGTCAATGGGATTAAGCAGAGGAGTTTAGCCAATCGGTGGTCAACAGGGTTGGGGTGACCTCAGGGAAGTTAGGTTCAAAGACAAGATAGAGAGTGAGGAGCAGTGGTGTGTCCAGGATAGAGTATCGGGCAGCTAGGGTGCATGGTGGAACAGAAAGTGAAGGGGAGCTGGGTTAGCTTTGTTTGAATAACATAGACAAGGGACAAGGGACTCCTTTCTGTCTCCACAGACTCCTGGCAGAGTTATGACGAGGCCCTGCAAGACTCCAACATAGAACTGGTGTCCATTACAGCCAACCTGGTGGACTTGGTGTGGGGCTCAGAGAGGCCCCTGCTGCCCAGCCAACCCATCTATGCCCTGCAGGAGGATTTCACAGGTAATTCAGTAGGTCCGTTCTCTTTCCCAACTCAGAACAACATGGTCCCTGCTCCTGCGGCTGAAAAATCTGTCATCAGAGATAGCAAAGCCTTGACTCTCAAGTCTCGGCCTGCTCCTGGCTCGCCTGCTTTACCATGAATATTTATGAGTCCCCTCCCAACAGACACTCAGAGGCTCAGAGGCCGAAGTGCCACGCAGCGTATTCACGAAATGCTGGAGTCAGGAATGTTAGGATTTGAAGGAAGAGAGGAAACAAGAACCAGATGATTTAAAAAGAAATTATCCCTTTAGAGAGAGAGAATGAGAGAGAGAGAGAATGAATACGTGTGTGTGTGTGTGTATGTGTGTGTGTGGTAAAGTCTGGTCAGACCTGAATCATCTTAACCTGGGCTTCTGACCCTCTAAATGCTGAGTGATTTGTATTTGTGGAATGGCTGGGGTCCCATGAGCTAGAGGTGGAGAGAGGAAGGAAACAGCTAAATTGGAGGGTCAGTCTATGGCATGCATTAGTGTTTAGGTTTGGACTGGACCACAAAGGAAAGTGAAGTGACCCAGAAAAAAAAATCTAACCCCAACATTGACCTCATGGACACCGTCTACATACACCATGAAAGAACTGCTTGCTCTCTGCATCTTGGATGTAGTAATGGATCTCCTGATGAGCGCCAAGCTACTAGTTGTGAATTCGCATTGACCAGCAACCACCCCTACCTCCTCAAGGTTTCTGAATGAGCCAATGAACTTGGACTCCAAGCCTTATCGGGGAATCTAAGAGGCTCCTTTCCACAGGCAAGTCCATGCACATTTTTGTGTGTCTATGGAAAGGAGTCAGAAGAACAGGCTGGAGATTTCAAAATAGCAGTGATGATGAAAAAAATGAAAACTATATCCAGTTTTTTCTCTTTTCTGGTATAATTTGCAGAAATCCTTCTTCCTACAGCTTGACACTGACTCTAAAGAAAGTTGCTATCTCAGACTTTTAAGTCATAAAGAAATCTCATTTCATTCAGATAAAGATCACAGTTACGCCAGGAAGGAGAAGGAGTTAGAAGAAACAAAACCTTCCAGACCCTAGCAGAGGACTCGCTTAGGTTTTCTCACTTCTCATGAGCCATCATAGGCTGCTAGTGTTCCATGAAAGCTTTCTGGGGCCAGAGATGGGCGTGGAAGCAACTTCAGTAGGCTTGCAGAGATGAGAAAGCCCTGGCAGGTTTTAAAGGCGGCAGGGGTTAAGGCAAAGGGCACAGCAAGGAAAGTGAATGACTTGAAGACGCGTGCATGAATCACACCATTTGCATTTGATTTCACTTGTCTTCTTGGGAATATTTCCCGGCTAAACAATTGTGAAAGCATAATTCTAAATGAAAGAAGCCAGCCCGGGAAGGCCATATATCGTACAACTACATTTTACTTGAAATACTCTGAGTTGGCCAATCCCCAAAGGCAATAAAGAGATTAGTGGTTTCCTGAGGAGAGAAGAGGAGGGAAGGACGGGGAGTAGACTCTTTAATGGGTACAAGGCTTCCTTCTGGAATGAGGAGAATGTTGCAGAATTTGAAAATTATATACCTACATGAGTCATTTTTTGTCTCCGAAGACTCAATCTCCTGATATGTGAAATGGGGCCACTAAGAATTAAAAGAATCTACAAGAAATGTTTAGCCCAGTACCCATGGCTTAATAAGTACTAAGGTGACTGCAAGGCAGAGAGTTGAACAGGGCCCTAGCCCTGGTGCTAACCCTTTAGATAGGGCTGCTCTCCTTAGTTCTGTTCTGCATGCTTGTTTATCTGTCAGAAAACTCTACCAAATCTACCACACTTGAAGACGTTACTCTACAAGCTTCACAAATATTAATTAGGTGAGCCTCACAGTGACCCTATAGAACTGGATCCTATTATTACAACCTGTCTCCATTTTACAGATATGCAAAACAAGTCACAGGGGTTAAGCCCTCAATTCAAGGTCACCTTACTGGTAGTGATCCAGCCAGCGTTTGAGCCAAGCCCAGAACCCAAAGCCCATGTCCTTTCATGACTGCACAAGTCAGGCCTTGTTTGAGGGGAAAAAAAAAAAATTCTGCTTTTAAACCAATGGGAAACTATGAGCCTCAAGGGACTAGAGGCCATTTGTACACAGGTGCATGTGTCAGGGTTTTTTTTTTTTTTTTCTTTGCTTCCAGGGAGCACTTGGCAGGATAAAGTAGCTGATATTCGAAACCAGATGCAGCAGCACAGCAAAGCTCCCACTGCTGTCCTTCTGTCAGCGCTCGATGAGACAGCCTGTGAGTGGGGCTCTGAATACCCGGGTGGGCCCTACCCCCAGTTCTCCAAGCCTCCGGGCCCCAAAGCACCTAGCTCTTGGGAGCTCTGTGCTCATGGCCATGAGGGGATTGGGAGGGATAAGGGCCAGGAATGCACGTCGAAGCCAGGGATCCCCAAGCAAGCTGGGGCCAACCCATAGATAGCCACATGGCAGCTTACACTGGCCACAGTGGCCCTGTGCTCCTGTCTCATGAAGCAGACAAGAATTGGCACAAGTCTCCCAACAACCTGGCCACTGTCATAAACACCTGAACACTCCCAGCCTTAACACCCAGTGTGAGCTTTCCCCTGTCCCTGGGTGGTTGGGTGGAAGCCCAGGCTAGCTCATAGCTTCTGTCCTGGTCCCTATGGCTGGACTGCGGACAGCACAGAACTCCAAGGTCAGCCTCATCAGCATCTCAAAGACCCAGCAGAAGACACAGATGTGTTGCTGGCAAGCTTCTACACCAACGCCTCCCAGAGTCACTGTCAATTCTCTCCCCTAGGGCTCTTCAACCTTCGCGGCAGCGACATCCCCTATAACCCCTTCTTCTATTCCTACACACTGCTCACGAACAACTCCATCAGGTATGGCTTTCCCTGAGCCAGCTCTCAGCATTTTCCTCCAGCCTCCACCATTTTACTGTCACCTCCCCCAACTTCCCTTGCCACAACATACAGCCTCCTGCTGGCCTTTCCCCACCCTTGACCTCTGCTCCTGTAAAATCCCTAATCTGAGGCCAGTGCAATGGCTCCACCAGCATCTCATATGGATGATGGTTCTTGTCCCAGCTGCTCCACTTTCCATCCGGCTCCCTGCTTGTGGCCTGGGAAAGCAGTAGAGGAAGGTTCAAGGCCTTGGGACCCTGCAATCATGAGGGAGGCCCAGAAGAAGCTCCTGGCTTCAGATCAGCACAGTTCCACCTCAGCTCTGGTCATCGTGGCCATTTGGGGAATGAACCAGCAGATGAAAGATCTTTCTTTCTATCTCTTCTTTCTAGAACTCTTCCTTTAAAAAAAAAAAAAAAAGAAGAAGAAGCCCTAATCTGGCCCACTTGGCTCCCTGTGCTGGCTTCCCCCTGAACTCTGCCCACAAAGGGACTCCCTTTGCCTCTGGTCCTTGGTGTTGCACTTAGCAACAGCCCTCTTCATGGCCTTCCTCTGCACCCCCCCCCCATCCAGATTATTTGCAAACAAGACCCGCTTTAGCCCCGAGACCCTGCAGTACCTGAACTCCAGCTGCACAGGCGCCATGTGTGTGCAACTTGAGGATTACGACCAAGTCCGTGACAGCGTCCAGGCCTATGCCCAAGGGGATGTGCGGATCTGGATTGGGACTAGCTATACCACGTATGGGCTCTACGAAGTGATACCCAAGGTGGGTTGGGCAGCCCTTGGCCTACACCAGGCACTGACTCCCTGCTGTAGATCAGATAAGTCTCAACATAAACTGGAGCTAAGGCCAAACAGGTCATTCTGTGACCCAGCCAGTGCATCAGTTCATCAACGAAGGCTTCCAGGAGGGTGGGAGGGGGAAGTGGACATGGCAGATGAGGAAAGACCTGCACAGCCACAAAACCCATATAGAGTACAATAGCGCGGCAGGGAGAGTGGCAGGTGTTACCTCGACTGGGTCTTCCTGCTGGTCCTTTGAAACTACCACTGGACTCTGCAAGGGTGACAGGAAACCTCCTCTTCCTTCGCATCCCCAACAGGATAAACTCATGGAAGACACATACTCCCCGGTGATGGTGACCAAGGCCGTGAAGAACAGGAAGGAACAGGCCCTCCTCAAGGACACCCACGTATGTTCATGGGCAAGGACATGTGACACTTGTGGAGCTCCTGGTCTGAGATTAAGGGAGGGAAGCCCCCTTGAGGAGCCTGTGGATACACACAGAGAAACCAAAGGCTGATACCAATCTCTTGCCACATGTTTGCCTACACACCACCCTCCACTAGCAGGCTAGCATGGGGGGCTCTAATCCAGGCCCTGAGCTCAGGTATACCCAAGTTAAAACCCTAGCTGCTATCTACTTCCAGGCTGGAAGACCTTGTGCATGTCAGTGCCCATCTCTGGGCCTCAGCTGGCTGAGCTGTAGGGTGAGAGTCATGCCTGGAGCCTTCCAGCACAGCACCAGTGTGGACTCAGTGAGGACACCAGGCTTTGGGCACTGCCTGGCATAGTATGAGATACAAGCAAATGTGAGGCTGATTTCTGTAGCAAGAGGAAGGCTTGTTCTTATTGGATGTTCTTGTTCAGCCACTCTTTGAAAACTGAGAACACGCTGAGATCCATGATAAACCCCAAGGAGAATCCTTTGAGATCAAATAGCTCCCCAGCCTCTCTGTTTTGAAAGCCCCAGATCCCTAGCTGCCCTGTGAGCTCCTAGACCGTGAAGCAGGCACCAACTGGAAGCTCCTTGCTTCTCTGCTCCCCCTTTGCTCTCTCCCCACCCCCACCCCTCCTGCAGGTGCGGGATGCTGTGGCTGTGATCCGGTACTTAGTATGGTTGGAGAAGAACGTGCCCCAAGGCACAGTGGACGAGTTCTCCGGTGCAGAGTTCCTGGAGAAGTTACGAGGGTGAAGAACTGTGGCTACTGCTTTTTTGGCGGGCTTTTAGTAAGGGTGTCAGGGCAGGGAGGAGGCTTAGTAGCCTTCCTTGGCAGGGATGGAGGCTGGGGGAGGGAATATTTTCCTTGTGTGTGGGAGCCTTTCTGGGACAAGGAGTGACACTTCCCCAGGGGAGCTGGGCACTGGCCAGCAGACCACATTCCCCAACCCCTCTGCAAGTGGGACAACCCCATAATGCCCCCTAGTGTCTGATTCAGGCATGGGTTCACGTGCCCTCCAGGAGCCTGGCTCCAGCCCCTGCAGCCCCTTGAAAGTATCAAGTAAGAAAGACAGTTCTTGAGGGCTAGGTGTCTTCATGCCCATAATGACAGGTGTATGCGGGTGGGCCTTCTTCAATCTTCGAGTGCTGAGGCAGGATGGGGCTTGGGAACGAGGAGTCAGGAGGCAGGGCGGGGCCAACCCCACATAGCTTGGCTGAGGTGAAGGCAGCTGTGACCTTCATTGATTCGGTCTGACTGGCTGTCAGCCTGGTCACTGTGCCCCTTCACTGACCATTCCTGGCTCTGGTCCTTTGCAGAGAAGAAGACTACTTTTCAGGATCCAGTTTTGAAACCATCTCTGCCAGCGGCCTGAATGCTGCCCTGGCGCACTACAGGTACAGGGGGCTGGGAGGGGGTGGGGTGGGTTTTACCATTCCTGGCAGATCCTGTTGTGTGTGCAAAGACTCAGGCAGGGTGCAGACTCTGGTACCGGGTCCCAGTTTGAAGTTTGAGGTGAGACCATTAGTGCTGGGGAGCCTGGAGTTGGGGATTGGAGAGGAGGGGCTGGCAGGAACTCAGTCTGAGTCCGGAAGCTTCTTTGAAACTAACAGATCTATGAAGAACTATATGTTAGTAATGATATAGAGGAACTAGGTGGGGGGGGGGAATTGGGGAGGGGATAAGGAAATATGGAACTGTATCATAAAATGATAGCAATAATAATAAAATGTAAAAAAATAAATAAATAAAAGTTAATTTGAAGTCTAAAAAAAAAAAGAAACTAACAGATCTGAAGCTATATCCCACCCCACCCCACCCCCCCAAAAAAAACCTGAAGCTTAGGGAGGGTCCCAGGGTCCAGGCCTGGGGTTCTAGGAGGTACAGGTGCTGTCAGATGGGTTGTGTGGACTTCCTGGAAGTTATTAACTTAGCTAGTGGTTAAATTCATGGGCACACATGGAGTAGGACCACTTTGCTCAGCCTGAACCAATCACAGTGGGTCTAAGATGTAGACCACACAGATATTTGGCTTTATATGGGGCAGGGGTGAGGGATACCCTGTGAGCTGGCCTAATGAAATTGGAGGTGGGGGAAAACTTGACCAGAGCCACCTCAGCCTGGCATGAAGTTTGAGGTGAGGCCATTAGTACTGGCATGGGCACAGTATGGACAAGTTAAATAGATGCCACTCCAACAGAGGGCCTGACATGTCCCAGAATTCTCTCTCCTATTGTCCCCTTGGTTACTCCCATGCCTTCAACTGCCTGGGCCCAGCCCCTTCTCTCTCCCTGCTGGAGCTAGAGAGTAGCAGGGGAGGTATTCCTCAGTGGCACCACCACTAAAGAGCCCTTGGTTTCTTGGAACTATTTGCTTTCTGAAGCAGCAGGGAGTTAGAGAAAGAGAGCTGGCTGGCACAGGCCGGTCTACACCCAGCTTCTGGCTGGTTTCCTGCAAGGCCTGGTGCTTCTGAAAAAGCAGGTAGCTGGACTGCATAATTGCTTCAAGTCTTCTGCATCCCACAATCGGGGCTCGGTTCTTGTTCCGGGTGCTAGCCCCCCAAGTGCACAGTAAGCCTACTCCTCACTCACTGCTCTCTCTCCATCTCAGCCCGTCCGCAGAGGTGCATCGCAAGCTGTCCACAGATGAGATGTACCTGGTGGATTCTGGGGGGCAATACTGGTGAGTCCCCCTCCACTGACCCCCAACACATGCTATCTCACCTCTGCTCAGGCATCCTGGGCCATGCAAGAGCCTGCCCAAGCTTTCTCTTCCTAGGTCGCAGGCTCCTTTTCTGACAAAGGAGTCACCTGGATGGAAAGAGCTCTGAGTGTCCTTCTCACCATCATACTTTGGGGTTGCAGGGGAAAGAGGGTCCCTGGTGCAGAGGGAAACACACTGCGACCAGAACAGTGCCAGTGCCTGCAGTGTTTCTGTGGAGAGAGAATTCCCCTGGCTCAAGTAATATGCTCCTCATGATCACATAGTGTTGTTTTAAGATTTATTTATTCATTTATTTGAAAGAGTTAGAGAAAGAGAAAGATCTTCCATCCACTGGTTCACTCCCCAAATGGCCACAACAACCAAGCATATGCCAGACCAAAGTCAGGAGTCAAGGGTATCCACCAGGTCTCCTATGTGGGTACAGAGGTCCAAGCACGTGAGCCATCCTCCACTGTTTTTCCAGGCTCATTAGCAGGGCCCAAGATTGAAAGTGGAGCAGCCAGGACTTGAACCTATGTGGATCTAGGATGCCAACACTGCAGGCAGTGGCTTAGCCCTATCCACCACAATGTTGGTGCCACAGTCACATGTTTCTATGAAGTATGGCCAGCTACAATCAGGCTCAGCAACCCTGCCAGGTTGCACCAACACACCCACCTATACTCTCAGCTACCTGTGCATGCCCTGGGTACAACCCACCCACCACCAGCTGCACGATGCTCCTCAGCCCGATCTCCCCCTGCAGCACAAGTCAGCTGGCATGTCAAGTTGGGGGTAGGAGCAGGTAAGAAAAACCTCCTTTGCTGCATGTGTTCCTCTTGTGTGGTGCCTAACCTGAATGCTTAGACATGACAGCTGTGTAGAACAGGCTAACTCTATTCTTTCCTGGTATCTAAGCATTTGTTAGGTTGGCGCTGATGTGAACCCTTCTGCTCTGGGAAGCCCATGAATTGTGGGAAGCTTGGGGTGGGTCACGGAAGGAGTGCACTGGCTTGACGGAGGAACAGGCAATCACTGCGGGGCAGTGAGCCGTGTCTGTCTGATGGACAAGGCAAGTGTGCTGCTGATAGAGGCGCTACCTTCATCCCTAGTGCGCTTTCAGGAGCCGGCAGGGCAGGCACTCAGCATGGCAGCCTTTGCTAGCCGCTGGTAGGATGCTGAGTGTGCTTGAGCAGGCTGAGGTACAAAGAGGAAGTGGGTTTATGGAGGCGTGGCTGACGGGGCATGCTCAGAGCAGGGTGATGCTGTGGAAGTGGTCACCTCACTTCCTCTTCTCTTCTCCTGAAGAAGGCCACCATGTCTGCCTGGTGATCTGCTCTCAGCAAGGAGCCCCCAGCCCCTGGGGTCAGGTCTCCCCTCCCCTACCCCTGGGCAGCTGTCCCAGGTGATGGCTGCTGCTGGTGATTGAGGGTGAGGGTGAAGGTCAGGGTCTTTAGCTTTCAACTTCACTTTACTGGAACTCAGAGCCAGCTTGTGGGTCTGGATTCCCAGTAAAGAGGGAGAGGGCCTTGTAGCCTCAATTGCCTCCTCTGTGAAATGGGGATAATGAGATTCTGCTGCAGCATCCTTCCCTGGGAGTGGAAAACAGACCCTGAGCATGGTAAAAAATTTTCTGGAAGGGGGAGTGTAATGAATATACCACCACTCCCTGGAGCTCAGTTCCCCTGTCTATAAACAGAAGAGGCCTTGCTTTTTACAGCTGCAGACACCTGCATCTACAAAACAGTCCAAGCTGGGGGAAGGGTGGGGATAGCAGGCAGTTATGGAAAGAGTAGCTGCTGTCACACAGCACTAAAGCTCTGCCGGGAGCGCCCAGCACAGCCTTGGTACACAGGTGCACAAGGTGGTACTTTGACCATGGCGGTTCTCTCTCCTTCCTTCTGCCTCTGTTTGCCCCAGTCCCAGCTCTGCCACTCGGACCCTAATGGAAAAGCAAGCACACAGAGAGGCATAGTCCACCCCCAAATCCCTTCTTGGGTCCCTAGCCCCCAGAACTAAGCAGAGTCCCACAAGCTCATTTTTTTGGTACATAGGGACGGGACCACGGACATCACTAGGACAGTCCACTGGGGCACGCCTTCAGCCTTCCAGAAGGTAAGCCCGGAACCCAGCTGGCCCCTCCTCTTTTCGCCCTGAATCCCCCAGCAGTCACTCCACTAAGAACTCTTCAGCTCTCAGGCCTTGAATGTTCACACAGTGTGCCCAAGGTCACACAAGTCAGTGCAGGAAAGCCCAAGGCTCCTGTCCCCTCTGAGACATCTGGGGCTGCCACCTCAGCCTAAGTGTAGTCTCATCCCACGGGACTCAAGCAATGCACAAACATTTCTCTAGTGCCAGTTCTAGGTTTGACCATGTGGATGAAGAAGGCCTGGCCCAGATCTCAGGAGGACTGGCAAGGGCACCTGGAAAAGGTGTGCGCAGGAGACACTGAAGGCTGGGACCTTGTCTCTGTGTCTGGGGATGGAACCCTGAGCTGCAATCCTGCAGTCCCTGAGTACACTGGATGTCAGGCGCTGTGCTGGAAACAGGCTAGGGGCAGGGGGTGGGGGCGAAAGGGAAGGGAGAAGCCCCAGGCAAGCCCACAGGAACTCCCAATGGAGTGGGTAAGTTCCCTGGCTGAGGCCGTGCTGCAGGGGATGCCACTAGATGCTTGCACTGGTATGGTGCAGTGGATTGACCACATTGCCATGGAGAAGTGCCACAGAGGCTGCCCTCAGCCTCCCTCCCTGCCCTGACAGAGGAAGGTTGACCTTGCCCAGTGGTCAGGCCCCAACCCGAACTCAAGGTCTTACCAACACTAGCGGATGTTCCCAATCCCAGGCATTCCGTGGCTGCTGAGGGACATGAGGCACATGCAGAGCTCCTTGCCCAAGGTGCCAGTTTGTGGAGGGCCAGCTCAGGATTTGGGCTGGGGGAATTCTGTCTTCCAGGCTCCCTACTACCTCAGCCTCAATTCGCTACCATCCATAAGCACCCCCAAAGGGAATCATATGGAGCAGGCAGCATGGAGCTGCATGGGAAGGCCTTTCCCAGCCTCCTTTAGCCACCTCCCAGAAACAGGGTGGCCCCCCAGGACAGTGCCTCTCCCTGTACTGCCAAGGCACACCCAGGTCCCCTCCTGTGCTCCCTGTTCCCTGCTCTCTCCCACTAGGAGACATACACCCGAGTGTTGATGGGAAATATCGATCTGTCCAGACTCGTCTTTCCCGCTTCTACATCAGGTGGGTTGCAGACACCAGGGGTGGTGCCCACAGCCTCGATCTGTGATTTCCCAGGAGGGTGAGGAGTATGCCATTATCCTATCAGCTCACATCAGTGAAGAGACCTGGCCTACAGAGAGAAGGGGACTCACCTAAAGGGACATAGTGGGTCAGTGGGAGAGCTGGGCCTTGAACTTGCTCAGAGATTCATGTGGGCTCTAGCAGTCAGGAGAGGATTCCAGAATAAAGGATGTGGCAAAGTGCTAAGTGTTGTGAATGGAGGAAAATTATAGTACAGCCATCCATTCAGGTAATGGGTACCATGCCCAGCATGATAGAGATAGTGAAAGGCTGGGCTGGGCTGGGCCGGCCCCTCTCTGTTACAGCCCAATGTAACCGTGTCATTGCAGACTTCCCTGCCTCACAGAGGCCACCTCTCCTCAGGTACCATGCTAGTAGTTGAACAGGAAAGGGCAAGACCAACTCTGCAATCCAGCCAAACTAATTGAGGGTGATGTCTTTTTCTTTCAGGACGAGTGGTGGAAGCTTTTGCACGCAAAGCCTTATGGGATGTTGGGCTCAATTATGGACATGGGACAGGCCATGGTATTGGCAACTTCCTGTGTGTGCATGAGTGTAGGTATCTTCTCAGTATTTCCCCCTACTCCTAGGGTTTTCCATGTGTGCCACCCCTATAGGAAAGAGGTAAAGCATTTCACAGGTTTGGGAATGCCGGGACCTGCAGAGGAGCCATGACCCACACAAGATGATCCCAGTTGGTGGACAGGGCTGCTCCACAGGCATCCAGGAAAGCTCCATAGAGAGGAATGAGGTCTAGCAGCTTCCTGGCATAGACAGATCCATTCGGGTATGTCCTAGGTCCAGGTAGACAATGATGTGATGAACAGGTGCCACTCAGAGACACGCCCCCCCCCATCCAGTCACCTGGTCATCTTACCTGGTCTTTTCCAAGCTGGCGAATGTAAGAAAGCTAACAACATGCCTGTATCTTACCTTCCAGGGCCAGTGGGATTCCAGTCCAACAACATTGCCATGGCCAAGGGCATGTTCACTTCCATTGGTATGGTTGGTTCTCAGGCCCCTTTACCCAACCACTCCCATTTTCATCCCAGAGCAAAGCAAGCCCAGGATTGCAGTCTAGGTTGTGTATGCATTTGGAAAGCACACCAGCCATACACACAGCCCCAGGCTGCACCCACACACTTCATTTCCTCACTCCCATCCCTGCACCCAGGCCTTAAATGCCTTGTCCCATTATCCCCAAGCAAACTCAGCTCCTGCTCTCTTTTTACCTTTGGAAGTTGGCTTGCAGCCATCCATCCAGAGTCACCCATTGAGGGGTAGGGTAATAGGTCAGTGGCACCCAGGGAGAAGAGCTTTCAGCTGGGCTCCAGGGGTGCAAGGGTGAGTCAAGGATGTGCTCATGCAGAAGCTAAGGCCTGGCATACTGCCTTTGCCCAGCCGATGGGGTGACCAGCAAGCAATGGGATCATTAGGGCCGACAGCTGGCAGCAGTCGGCTAGGCTGCTGTGCCTCCCTGCCACTCATCACATGCATTGGCAAGAGAAGCCTGGGTGTGGGTTCTGCCCCTGTTTACTGCTGCTAACATCTCTGTGTCTCCCAGAACCTGGTTACTATCAGGATGGAGAGTTTGGGATCCGTATTGAAGACGTGGCTCTCGTAGTAGAAGCACAGACCAAGGTAAGGTGCCCCTGACATGAACCAGAATTGTGGCCAGCACAGTGGTAAATTTGGGCTGCATGGGCTCAGGCACATGTAACATGTGGAATCTTCCTTAGCTCCACAGGAATTCCAAAAACCAGTGTCCCTCAACCCTGCTTGTACACTGGAATTTTCTAGAGAGCTTTTGAGGTTTTTAAAATGCCAATGCAAAGACCCCACTCCACAGCAACTGAAGCCAGAATTCTTTGCCCTAAATCATTGCTTCTTGGTGCACATAATAATCACCAGGGGAGCTTGTTAGAAATAAAGATTCAGTATAATAACAACTAACAAGATAAAATACCTAGACATAAACTGAGAAAGCCTTACATGGAGAAAGTCTCTACAAAGGGACATAAAAAAGATGGAAGTGAATGCTGTTCCCTGGAAAGAAGCCTCAATACTGTTAAGATGTCATTTCTCCCTAAACGAATCTATAAATTCAAGACATCTTCAGTTTTGATGGTAAGTGGCTATTTTTGTAACTTCACAAAATGATAGTAAAGCCTTTTTTTTGTAAAAAATAAGCACATAAAGATAGCAGGGTAGCAAAGGGAGCGAAGAAGAGTAATAACAGAAACTGGAACTACTAGATTTTCTTTAAAGATTTATTTTTCGCAGTTCTTTTTCATTTGAAATTCAGACTTTCAGAGAGAAGGAGAGAGGGAGAAATGTCTTCCATCCACTGGTTCACTCCCCCACTGGCCACAATAGCTGGAGCTGATAAAGAAAAAGAAAAACAAACAAACAAAAATAGCTGGAGCTGAGCCAATCAGGTGCCAGAAGCTTCTTTTGAATCTTCCATTTGCATGCAGGGGGCCCAAGGACTTGGGCCAAACTGCTCTACTTTCCCAGGTCATAAGTAGAGAGTTAGATCCGAAGTGGAGCAGCAAGGACTTGAACCTGTGTCCATATGAGGGCGGGTTCATTTCCCTCACCCACCTTCTCTCCACCAGCCATGACAAAGAAAGCACAGGTGTTTTTTTTTACCATGAGCTTTTTCAAATCAGACCAACATAATGGTGACCCTTCCCCCACAAAGTGAAAACAAATACATGATTCACTAATTTCCAACAAAGATGGTCCACACATTAGGAAAGATGTGAAACTTCATCCTCCAACATGCACAAGTCAAAATAACACTGCAGGAGCGTGGTTTACCTCTCAGAAGGGCAAGAATCAGAGACTTGGGTGATACTCAATGGTTGCGAGCTGTGAGGAAATGGGCGCTTTCCTACACTGATGGAAAGGACGGCTGGCTGCACCGGGTCCGGAGGGCAGTCTGATAAGCTCTCTCAGGAGACCAATGTAGCATGTGGATACCTTTCAGTTCAACAATGTCCTCTGGATAGAGTCCTAGATACTCACCAAGAAGCTAATGCCGTGATGCTGATGGTAACAGTTACAAAGTGAGAAATAAACCTAAGAACCCCTCCCCCTCCAACTGATCCTGTAAACCACGGTCTGTGTACTCTGGACTCCTGGGCAGCCCTTAGGAAGAGGGATTGTAGAGCTTGTGTTCATATGTGAAGCATCTTCCCAAGTTCACCACCACATCAGAGGGAAAGTGTGGAAAAGTGTGTGTGTGCTCAGAGCCATCTTGTGTGTGCGAACTTTGAAAGTGGACAGGAAGAAGATCACATTTTTGCACCCTATCTTGGCATAGCTTGTGTTTCTTGAAAAATAGAGGTTGAAGTGTGAATTTCACAAGTCAGGGGGGCAGCACCAAGGGAGTTGAGGTGCAGAAAGGTAGAGAGGGGTGGCCAAGGGGAGGCTTGGGTGTAGCTGGCATGTCCAGGCTCGACACAGATGAGTTCCCTGTGCCCGTGGCTTCTGGATGGAGTGTTCCCCGCCCCTTCAACCCAGCTCTTCTGCCTCCCTCACTTGCCTGCTCTCTCCCTTTCAATGTGCCACCAGTACCCAGGGACCTACCTGACCTTCGAAGTGGTGACTTTGGTGCCCTACGACCGGAATCTCATTGATGTCAACCTGCTGTCCCCTGAGCAGGTGAGTGCTCCCCTGCCCAACCTCCCTTTCAGTCTGTGACCCACTTGCTTCTCCCCGACCCTGCACCCCTTTCTTGTCCCAGTTCCCACCACCCCAAGATCCTCACCCCTCCTCCAGGGAGCTCCACCAATGTTGGTGGCACCTATAGGCACATACTGAGGCATCCCTCCCTAGTTCACCCTAGACCTTTTTAGAACGTTTCAACCAAATCAGTGTGCCTAAGCTCAGCTAATGGAGAGTCTGAGACTGAACCTCTGAGCTGTGTGGCTCCCAAGGTCTGAAACTACAAGCAATCCTTTCCCCTCTCTGTGATCTCAGTCTTCTCTCATTGCAAATGGGAATGATACTGCATCCCATCATTCCTGGCCCTGAAAGCCACATTCCCATACCCCTTTACTACCTGCCCTGGGGAAGCGCCTCTAGAAAGTCCCAGAGAATGCCTGAGGTCTGATGGTGCCTGCTGACCTGGGGTACTGGCACCAATGTTTCCCACACCACCACCACCGCCCCCCCGCCCCCGCGACATGAACTGAAACCAAGAGCTTGCTTGCAGGCAACTCAGCCTGGGTGGCACTTGTCCCTCCTGCCCTTTTGCAGCTCCAGTACGTGAACCGTTACTACCAGACCATCCGCAATAAAGTGGGCCCGGAGCTGCTGCGGCGCCAGCTGCAGGATGAATATGAGTGGCTACAGCGCCACACCGAGCCCCTGACTTCCAGAGCCCCACACACCTCCTCCATGGCCTACATGGTGGCAGCCTGTACTCTCGCCATCCTGAGCTGGAGCAGCTAGAGGCACTGGCTCCCTGGCTGACCCTGCGCCTTCTAGGGGAGGTTGGGGGGGTGGTATTCACCTCCCCTTAGCCTCCTCCACATGTACCCCACCCCCACCCCAAGAACACTCTGCTGGCCCATCACCTGGAAAACCATTGCCCCCAGCCGCCTGCCACCAGGGTCTCTGGTCCCTAGGCAACACTCCTCATCCCAGGGCTATAAAGCTCACTCTGGATTCCCAACCCCAGGCTGCATCCTGGTGCTATCTGCTCTAGGGTCTTCTTGCCACTGAAATAAAAGAGCCACAGGGCTGGTGATGTTTCCCCACCACCACCACCACCACTGGCTCCTGACTTCCCACATCCTTGAGGCTGCCTCTGGACACCAGCATGTGCCTCCAGCCTTACTATAGCCTCCTGGCTCTAGCGTACAGGAAAGAAGGACTGCAGCTCCTTTTGGGCCACCTACTGTGCCTTGAGAGGGGTGGCAGAATCCCTTGGCCTACCTCCCAGCCTCTCCCTATATGCTGAACCAGCTATGGGGGCAGGGGTGGAGGAGACGGGGAGGGTGACTTTCTCTGGCCTAAGTCAGCCAGGCCAGCCGTTGGCCACCTGCACTCACATCCTGCTAGAAGCTTAAAACAGCCTTGCAAAGATGCCTGCCTCTGGGTTTTGCAGTGTCTGTTGTGTCGCCGGAGACTGCTGTTACCTGTGGCTTTTGTGGTAGCGGAGGAAGAGAAGGCAAGGTGGGGCAGGGGCCTGCAAGGCTCCCAGAAGCTCTGCAGGGGAGCATTGGGCTGCAGGATGTGTGTGTGTGTGTGTGTGTGTGTGTGTGAGAGAGAGAGAGAGAGAGAGAGAGAGAACAAATATGAGAAGCGCATGTGCATACATGTGTGTGTGAGCATGCGCACCACACCCAGCCAATCACTTCAGTGTGTGCTGTAACTTTACAGAGAACACCCCCGCATACTGGGGAACTTGTCAAAAGTGGCCCAGAAAAGTGCCCTGAACCAAAGCTTTGAGTATAATACTGGGCAAAGGGAGGCACAAGGCTTAGCTTGCTGGATGCGAGGGTGACCTGCGACAGTTCTCATCACTGATGCTTACATTCAAAGACCTCAGCCCTGACCCACCCTCACCAAGAACCTCATGGCAACACTCCTCAACCCCTGATCAACGAGTTGCTCTTAGTCCCTCACCCCACAAAGCCAGCTGCTACCACCTCAAGAGCTGCTACTAACACTGAAATCATCACATCATCATCGCTACCCTCAATTATGGACACTGAGTAAAAGTTTTGCCTGAATTTAACCCTCAACTCCCTGAGAAAGTGCCCTTATAGCTCTCATCTTAGGAGCAAGAGTCAAAGAGGTCAGAAGACTCCAGAATCTGCTGTGTCAGAAAAGGGCAAGTGGAATGATGGGAAGCAGAGCCCACATCCAACTGCTTCCCTGGGGCCTGCCTGCTCAGACCTTTGCTCTTACACCCTGACTCTTGCTCCTGGGGTCCTGAACAGCCAGCACACACTTTCAGCCCAACCCTGTGTCCCCTTGCCTCTCTTCGGTGCAAGAGCTAGGACATGGCAGCCTCGCCTTCTGACCATCCCAGGATTAGGAGTGCTGGCCCCAGAAGGGTGGCTGCAGAGAGCCACTGGGTCCCCAGGCTCTCCCTCTCCTGGGGACACTGCCTGTTTTTACATTAGGGGCTTCCTACACTGCAGGGCTTACACGTGTGGAGTTCCTGAGACATCATTACGAATTGAACATATAACTGCCTCCCGGGGCTCTGGTCTTTTGCTTTGTGTATTCTTATTCAAAAGGAGGAGCAGCAGGGAGAAGGTGAGATCTTCCACTCACTGGTTTTGTCCTCAGGGCCACACAACAGCCCAAATCCAGGAATCAGAAACCCCATCGCAGTCTGCCCATGGGTGGCAAGGATTCAAGTACTTGGGTCACTGTCTGCTGCTTCCCAGGCACATTAGCAGGAGAGGCAAAGTAGCAAGCACTCCAACCAGAACTCCAATATTGGATGCTGCCATCCCAGGCAGCAGCTTAACCTACTGTGCCACAATATCAACCCTGATCCTTTACTCTGATGCTGGAGAATGGGGCTTAATAAACCTCTCCTTGTCTGCTGTTGATAGCTGTGGAGTCAGCCCATGGAAAAGCCTCTTTTCCTAGGAATTAGGATCTAGGGTTCTATTCCTATCTAGGGCAGCTGTGTGACACTGAGTCACTTCACCTCTCTGGTTTTCAGTTGGACCTTGTCTAAATTATCCTCACTGCCTTCCTGGTGAGATGACAGTGAGAGGCCCATCAGACTCGGATGTGGCAGCCTTCTATAAACCAGGAAAATATACTGAGAGGAGATGACAATGCTAGCTTTGGCCTAGCATGATTTCAACTCTGGCTTCGCCTTTGGAGGCAGGGAAGGAAAAGGTTTGGGACCTATACACTGTGTAGAAGCAGTCGAACTGCAGAGTTTGGAGTAAGTAGCTAGCACTGTCCCTCTCCCCGTGCTCTCTGGAGCCTGGGGTTCCTCAGAAATGCAACAAGGACTGTTCTAGAGAACAGAGCTTTAGCAAAGGCAGCCCACAGGAGCTCTCCACCAAATCACTCCTCAAGTGGCTGCAGGGCCAGTTGTCTAGGCACACGAGTGCTTGGCATCATTCAGAAAGACCTGGTCCTATCAGGTCCTAGGCTTGCTCCAATGTATTTCCACCACCATCCTGAAATTCATAATACTTTTTTTCAAATTTATATTTACTTATTTTTAAAAAATATTTAGCCATTTATCTGAAAGGTAAAACACCAGAGAGAGGAATTGTCCACCTGCTAACTCACTCCTCAGTGCAGTGGCCAGGATTGGACCAGGTCAAAGGCTAGGGCCAGGGACTCCATCCAGGTCTCCCATACAGGTGGCAGGTGTCCAAATACTTGAAAAATCATCTGAGGCCTTCCTAGGCACATTAGCAGGTAGCTGGATAGGAAATGGAGCAGATGGGAGTCAAATCTACTTTCTAATATGGCAAGCCAGCATTGCAAGTGGCAGGTTCACCCATAATATCCTAATGTTAATCCCTTAATTATTGTATAGCGAATTGTCCCACACTTTGGTTTTGCACAAGACCCTGCAAATTTGATAGCTTTTGCCAAATAGGAGCTCCTAGAACAAGCAAAACAATGGGGCAATTGTTTCACAGTAGAAATGAGAAAATTTAAACAACAATCTAGAAGGATACAGGGCCTCATCCAAGATCACACAGCCTGCTGGGGTCAGAGCGAGCATGTCCACAATACTGACTTGGCTCTCTTATGGCTCCTCTCTTGCTTTGAAAAGTGTGATTCTGTGTACTACTGCTAATGAGCAAACAGAGGCCCAGGGAGTCCTGTTTGAGGTCATGGAACCATGACAACAGTGGGGGTGGTGGGATTGAGCTACTTTTTTTTTTAGAGAGTCAGAGAGACAGAGAACTCCCATCTGCACTACCCCCAACTCCCACAACAGGCAAAGCTGGGTCAGGGCAAAGTTGGGAGCCTGGAACTCCAACCAGGTGTTCCATGTGGGTAGAAAGGCACCAACTGCTTGAGCTGCCACCAGCTGTCACCCAGGGTACACAATGGCAGGCACCTGGAGTCATCAGCAGAGCAGGGCCTTGGAGCCAGGCACAGGACGTGACCATCTCAAGCAGTGTCTCCGCTATAATACCACATGCTCACCTCCAATGACACTTTTGAATTCTGCCAGTGGTTTTTGGCATCGGAAAGGTCATACAGTCTAGTTTATTTGGAAAATAATAATAAACCAGTTCTCGTTCATTTGTTAGCCAGCTGGCTCCAACTGTTCAGGATTTGAGATCCTGAAAAGAACGGGGCTGGCTACTGTTCAGCCAGCCAAGCCCCATCAACAGTGAATTTTACCAATTCATTGGGCACTTCCTCAAATAGTGGTTGGGCACCCTTGATGCCAAAAACAAAGATGCAAAAGCAACTGTTTCTCTCCATCCCTGCCACCCCAACCCCCACCACACGATGGCTCACCACAGTTGAGAGTGGGAGGTACTCCCCAAAACCCCACCCAGCCAGCACTTGCTCAGAGACTGGCCCAACTCTTCACTTCCTTATTTCTTTGTGAAACAGGAACTAAACAAGCAGCTCAAATGAGTAGGATAGGTGGTTGAGAAAACCCCATTGGACCATGACAAGGCCATGAAGTTGAAAATCTAGTTTCTCTCTCAAAGGGTCCCAGGAAGCTTTGGGCCCTCATGCTTCCCACACCTCATGTGTTCTAGAATAGCTCATTTGGGCTGAAAGACCCTGCCATGGACATGGTCAAGACACACAGGGTACGGGCCCAGGATCAGGTTACAGAGATGCAGACGGGGCTGGTGTCAAGGGGATACAGGAAAATGACAGAAGACAGTGATTCCAAATGCTCACTGCTGGTTATGCTTGGGGTGAACTGATATAAACTCAATATCAGGTACCTAGCACTTCCTTTGAACCAGGCCCTGGTTCAAGTGCTCTGCTCCTGTGCGGTATCTGAGTAGTAACTCACACACCCACAAGCAAGGTCCACATTCTTATGGTTATGCTGTCACTTAGGCTTATCCCAGAGGACATCATTTGCCCAAGGTTATGCAGCCAACAGGTTGTTACAGGGCAAATGAGACCTGATTCTACTCAACTCCATGTGTGTAATGGATTCTCCCTGCCCCCCCCTCCTCTTCCCTAGTGCCCTAAACAATTGTCCCCAAGGGGGCCAGGGGCCCAATATTCAGAAATATGTCCTTGCAAGATCGGGGCAGAGTCTTGGGCACAGCATCAAGCCTTCTGGGAAGTGCAGGTGTGTTGATCTCAGCAGCCAAGTCCAGCCTCCACTGTTGCCAATATTTGCTGCAGCTGCCTGCAGGTGGTTTTTTTTTTTTTTTTTAAAGTAAGACCTTATCGTGAGCTCAGAGCTCCAGAAATGACTCTTTCTCTCCCATCAGCCCCTGTCACCGGGCCCCTGCAGTGTGCCCAAAGCTGACAG